ATCAGTTGCAGGGTGCACAGGTCTTTTCTAAAATAGATCTACGATCAGGTTACCATCAGGTAAAGGTGAGAGCAGAAGACATCCCCAAGACGGCATTCCGAACCAGGTACGGACACTATGAGTTCCTGGTTATGCCGTTTGGGCTAACCAACGCCCCGACCATCTTTATGGATCTGATGAACAGGATCTTCAGAGAGTTCTTGGATCAATTTGTCATCGTGTTCATCGATGATATCTTAGTCTACTAAAAAAGTAGAGAAGAACATGCTAATCATCTTGCCCAAGTCCTACAGGTACTCAGGGAAAAGAAGTTGTATGCAAAGTTGAGCAAGTGTGGATTTTGGCTCGAGCAAACCGCCTTCCTAGGGCATGTTATATCGAAGGAAGGGGTGTCAGTGAACCCCGAAAAGGTTGAAGCGGTACTTGGTTGGGAAAGGCTGACAACAGTTAAGGAGATCCGCAGTTTTCTAGGGATGGCGGGTTACTACCGCCGGTTTGTCGAAGGGTTCTCCAGTCTAGCAGCTCCTCTAACCCGACTCACAAAGAAGAATGCAAAGTTTGAATGGAATGAGAACTGCGAAAGGAGTTTTTCAGAATTGAAGAAGCGACTGACTACTGCACCCGTGCTGGCTCTACCGAGTGGATCAGGAGGGTATACAGTTTATAGTGATGCCTCCTATCTGGGCCTGGGTTGTGTCCTGATGCAGCATGGAAAGGTTATAGCATATGGGTCTAGACAGCTAAAGAATCATGAGAAGAACTATCCTACCCATGACTTGGAGCTTGCCGCAATCATACACGCCTTGAAAACCTGGCGCCATTATTTGTATGGAGAGACCTTTCAGATCTACACCGATCATAAGAGTTTGAAGCACATCTTCACTCAGAAGGATCTCAACATGCGTCAGAGAAGGTGGATGGAACTCCTCAAGGACTATGATTGTGACATCCTATACCATCCAGGTAAGGGCAACGTAGTAGCCGATGCTCTCAGCAGGAAAAGTGCAGGCACCCTAGCCCATTTGATGGTTTCAGAATGCAGGTCCATTGGGGCCACACAGCAGGTTCGACTGCGAGATCTGAAGAGGGCCACATGTTTGGGCCACCTAGCAGTCCAACCCGAGTTAATCCAAAGAATAAAGGAAGCCCAGTCAGTCGACCCCGCCCTAGTAACCCGCAAGAAGGATGCAGAACAGGGAGTGAGCTCAGAATTTCAGATCTCTGCCGACGGATTGATTCGTTTCAAGGACAGAGTGTGTGTCCCCGACGACAGTGAGTTAAAAAGAGACATCATGACAGAGTCCCATAGTTCAAGGTTTGCCATGCATCCAGGAAGTACAAAAATGTACCAAACTATGCGACCTCGGTTCTGGTGGAATGGGATGAAGAGAGATATAGCCGACTTTGTATCTAAGTGCTTGGTATGTCAGCAGGTCAAAGCAGAACATCAACGCCCAGGTGGGTTACTTCAGCCTTTACCGATTCCAGAGTGGAAGTGAGAACACATCACCATGGACTTCGTATCGGGACTACCTAAGGCACGATCGGGACATGATGTTATATGGGTAATTGTTGACCGACTCACTAAGTCTTCCCACTTCTTGGCCATCAGAATGACTGATTCTTTGGACAAGTTGGCAAGAATGTATATCCGGGAGATAGTCAGACTGCATGGAGTCCCAGTAACAGTGGTATCCGATAGGGATCCCAGATTCACTTCTCGGTTTTGGAATAGTTTCCAGCAAGCTATGGGAACAAAACTGTCTCTTAGTACTGCCTTCCACCTCCAAACTGATGGACAATCAGAGAGGACAATTCGTACGTTTGAGGATATGCTCCGAGCTTGTGTCCTTGACTCTTGGGGCCATTGGGACGACCATCTACCCCTGATAGAGTTTGCCTACAACAACAGCTACCAAGCAAGCATCGGCATGGCCCCATACGAGGCACTATACGGGCGTCCGTGCAGGTCATCGATTTGTTGGGAGGAAGTGGGCGATAGAAGATTGTTTGGCCCGGATTTGGTAGAAGAGACCACGTCCAAGATAGTTAAAATCAAGAAGAACATTCAGACAGCTCAGAGTAGGCAGAAGAGTTATGCTGATACCCGGAGGAGAGACCTGGCTTTTGAGAAAGGCGACTGGGTGTTTCTTAAAGTCACCCCCTTCAAGGGAATTAGTAGGTTCAGCAGGAGGGAAAAATTAAGCCCCAGATATATTGGACCCTTTGAAATCTTAGACAAGATTGGTACCACTGCCTACAGACTTGCACTGCCTCCGGAGCTCTCTCGGGTTCATAATGTGTTTCACGTATCTATGCTACGTAAGTACAACCCGGACCCTTCTCATGTCTTGGCTCATGAACCGCTTCCACTCCAAGAGGACTTGTCTTATGAAGAGGTACCGGTCGGTATCACGGACCGAGAGAGCAGAATACTCCGCAACCGGGAAATATCATTTGTAAAAGTCGTGTGGCAGAACCACACGCCCAGGGAGGCCACTTGGGAACTGGAATCAAAATTTAGAGCCCAATATCCCCATCTGTTCGATCAAGAGTAATGAGGCAAATTTGGGGACCAAATTTCTTTAAGGGGGG